CTTTCTTAGGAACATGAGAACTAGATACTAGATCTCCTACAAAGTTAACGTACAAATCATCTAATCAATCTCAACTGACTGAGACTCAGTGCCAATCACAATTATACACTGATGGGACACACAGTGGGGTGCAAAAGTTTGGGCAGCCTTGTTAATTTTCTTGATTTACCTTTTATAAATCATTGATTGTTTGGATTTTAAAAAATCAGTTAAATATTTCATATAGGGGACAAACACAGTGATATTTGAGAAGTGAAATGAAGTTTATATGATTTACAGAAAGTGTGCAATAATTGGTTAAACAAAATTAGGCAGGTGCATAAATTTGGGCACCAAAAAAAACCCTTACCTCAATATTTAGTAGCTCCTCCTTTCACCGAAATAACAGCCTCTGAACACTTCCTACAGCTTCTAATGAGAGTCTGGATTGTGGCTGAAGGTATTTTAGACCAGTGGTTCCCAAACTTTTTATCTTCTGACCCACAAAATATCCATGGCGAAAACTTGTGACCCCAAATATTACTGGTCTGAGTACAAAAACTTTGTTAATACGCCTAAAAACACAGGCTTTTTGACAATCTAAACAGCTTACACAAATATAAATACTTATTTAAACTTTCTTTTGTGTGTTTTTGTAATAATTGTTGGGAAAATATTACATCAGCAATAATTTTATTACCCATTAAATTGATTTCTGGAGATCCAAGGTGCTTCATGACCCACAATTGGGTCCCAAGTCCAACTTTGGGAACCAAAGTGCAGTGGTTCMCAAACTTTTCAGCTTTTGACCCACAAAATAACAGCAGCAGAGACCTGTGCCCCCAACTATTTTTGGATGATAAACATTTGTATCAGGTCAACTAAACATGGACATAGTAACACTATTTTTATACTACATTTATCCATTTTAAATACACTAACCTCACTCATTTGTAACAACTAAGGCAAAAATGTAATTAATTCAGAAAATATTTTAAGGACCCCATCTTGATGTTTCGGGACCCCACTTTGGATCCCAACCCCAACTTTGGGAAACACTGATTTAGACCATTCTTCTTTACAAAACATCTCTAGTTCATTCAGGTTTGATGGTTTCTGAGCATGGACAGCTCTCTTTAAGTGACACCACAGATTTTCAATAATATTCAGGTCTGGGGACTGAGATGGCCATTCCAGAACGTTGTATTGTTCCTCTGCATGAATGCCTTAGTAGATTTTGAGCAGTGTTTTGGGTGGTTGTCTTGTTGGAAGACGCAGCCCCGGCTTCAGCAGCTTCAGCTTTGTCACTGATTCTTGGTCATTGGTCTCCATAATCTGCTGATTGGTTGGAATCCATTCATCCTTCAACTTTAACAAGATTCCCAGTCCCTATACTGGCCACACAGCCCCACAGCATGATGGAACCACCACCACATTTTACTGTAGGTAGCAGGTGTTTTTCTTGGAGTGCTGTGTTCTTTTTCCTCCATGCATAACGACTCTTGTTCTGCCCAAATAACTCTGTTTTAGTTTCATCAGTCCACAGCACCTTATTCCAAAATGAAGCTGGATGTCCAAATGTGCTTTAGCATACCTCAAGCAGCTCTGTTTGTGATGTGGGCGGAGAAAAGGCTTCCTCTGCATCACTCTCCCATACAGCATCTCCTTGTATAAAGTGTGCTGAATAGTTGAACGATGCACAGTGACTCCATCAGCAGCAAGATGACGCTGTAGGGCTTTGGTTCTGGTCTGTGGGTTGACTCTGACTGTTCTCAACATCTTTCACTTCTGTTTATTCCAGATTTATCTTAGTCTGCCACTTGGAGCCTACACTTGAACTGTGCCTGTGGTCATCCATTTTCTCACAATGTTTCTCACAGTGGAGACTGAAAGCTGAAATCTCTGAGATAGCTTTCTGTATCCTTCCCCTAAACCATGACGGTGAACAATCTTTGTTTTCATCTCATTTGAAAGTTGTTTTCAGACTCCCATGCTGCCACTCTTCAAAGAAGATGGGGAGGAGAAAAACTTACAATTGCCCTCCTTAAATACCCTTTCTCATAATGGGAGTCACCTGTGTATGGAGGTCAAGGGTCACTGAACTTACCAAACCAAATTTGAGTTCCAATAATTAGTTCTAAAGGTTTTGAAATCAGTTAAATGAAAACGGTGCCCAAATTTATGCACCTGCTTAATTTTGTTTAAACAATTATTGCACACTTTCTGTTAATCATATAAACTTTATTTCACTTCTCAAATATCACTGTGTTTGTCCCCTATATGATATATTTAACTAGTTTTTTTATCCAATCAATCAGTGGTTTATAAAGGTAAATCAGGAAAATTAACAAGGCTGCTCAAACTTTCGTACCCCACTGTATATCAGAGACTTTGTAGGTGACGTGTCATGCCCAAGAACACAACAACTGAGACAGCTGTACAGGGAATCTAACCGGCGCCCTACCGATTCCAGGAAGACTCCCCTAACCACTCTTTCGACTTTCTTTCTCAGGATCCTGAGAAAGTTTTACAGGATCTTGCAAAAGTAAGTCAGGATCTTTTTCCCCACCCAAAAGAAAAAAATAACAAATTAGAGGCATCTTTTTAATTTCCATCAGAGTTTTTCAATACACGTTTTTATCTCACCCCACATCAATACTTCTTCCTCACCAGCTTTATATAAAAAACACCTTCTCCACAGCAGCAACCTCCATTTAAAACAAATCTACTTTATTTAATGAATGATTCCAGGACAAGAGGCAACAAATCTCACATCATGATACAACCTCCCTCATGTTTTACTGCAGGAACTTCCAGTTTATTTTTCACCTGTTACATTTTCAAGAAGCCCTGCTTTGTTTTCTCTGAAAAAAAATAAGAGCGCAGAAAGACGACGTTCTCTATCTCAAATATCTCATGAACCACAGGACAAATTTTAATTAAACTCACAAAGTAACCCCTCAATGTCAATCTATAACTGATCATTTTTTATAGTCAACCTGATTTAAAACAGCTGAGACCATAGACATACACACACACACACACACACACACACACACAAATGTTTGTAATTCAGGTAATTTCACAGATATTGAGCAAAAATTTAATGTGGTGTTCACGACACACTCAACCTAGATTTAGTTTTATTCACTCAAGACTGCAACTAGTTCTCATCAGGACTGAATCTGTTCTCATTATTCATTTAATACTGCTGAATACTGAAAATACTTTACTCCAGAAAGAAGAAAGACAGAAAATATCTTACTCAAAACATTATTTTATTATCCAAGGTGAAATGTCCCATCAAGTACAAAAAGAGAATCTCTTCAAAGTGGCCACAATCTGTTAAAAACATATATTTTTTTCTATTTTGAAGGGATTTTTCCTCAACATACTACTCAATAATAAAGAGGGGAAAAAAACAACTGAGAACATTTCATCATTTTAAATAAATAGGAAATTTTATGTCAATATTGAAGTTAAACTAAACTTGTATGTTTCTTACAAAACAAAAGAAAAACTGTACAAGTTTTTGTGTTGTCCCACCTGGTTCAGAACCACACTGCTCACAAGGTGCAGCACTTTTATATAAAGGACAATTTTACCTAAATGTCAAGTCCACTTTTACTAAAAAATAAAAAATAAAAAAAAAGTTTCAATTTACAGGTCAACTTATTTGCTGGTTCAAATAGTGAAAAATAAAATTTTCCACTTTAAAGATTTTTCTATCTCTACATATGTGGACAGCAGTAAAATACAAGAATTTACAGAGAGTAAAGCACATTATCATCATCAGGTAGTAAAGAGACAAACATTCGATCGATAGCCAAAAAAAAAAAAAGGAAAAGAAAAAAAAAAGAGACTGCAAGATCTCTTAACATTGCTTATACAGATGAAATGTAAAACAAAACACAGGTTAATTTTTTAAACAAATCAACTTTGAGGCGATTCTGTTGCTGCTCTCCTCCTATAAAACTGAGAAATTACAAAAAAATGTTCCCAGATACGCTCGGGGAAGAAAAACACAGGCAGCTATAAAATTTTCATACAAACCCCAAAGATATAAAGAATCCAAAGTCCCCACTCGGATGTTTAACTCCTGCCACAGACCACAAAATAATCGAGTCGAACATGTTCATTTTCCAATTACTTAACCCTGACTGTGGGATGGAGCTGAGAGACAGATGTGAGCCAACCTGTCAACTTCAGTGTTGGAGGCTGAGAGATAAGGAGAAATGCAAAAAAAAAATAAAAAAAAATAAAAAAAATAAAATAAAAAAAGGGAAGCTCAGATGAGACAATACATGATGGGAGCTACAGTACTTTAAACTTCTCGTGTTCAGTATTCACCTTCTTAAAAAAAAATCACAATTTCTTTTTCTTCTGAAAAAAAAAACATCAAGCATTTTTTTATTTCCTAGCATTTTATAGTTCTAGATGAAAGAAGGTCAAAAGAAAAAAGAAGGGAAAAAAAAAAGAAAGCTGGCCGGATGCAGTGGGTGAAAAAAACAACAACTTGAAAGCATTTCTGCCTTCAGATGACATGATTCCTAACATCAGTTTGAAAACCGACAGACACTTTGTTTTCTGCATCTGGTTCATCATGAAAGGTGACTCTGTGCAACTCTGGTTGAAGAAAACAGGGCACCTTGTTTTTATTTTTGAGCGTGACCTTTGACCTTCAGCTCTGACAAAACGTTGCCGTCAAGCATCCACCTACATTTCTATCTCAGGCCGGGCCAAACCTCCAATCTGATGGAGGGGTGACTGATTAAAACTAGGCCTGTCACGATAAGCTTTGCTGGACGATAAATCGTCTCAGAAATTATCACGATATATGATAATATTGTTTGGAGACCATTTTAGACTAATATAATGACCCCGCCCACACACACACACACACACACACACACACACACACACACACAC